AGAATCAAGCAGTGAGTTAGTGACTGAAGTATAAAGTGATACGTACCGAAGTCGTGGAGATTGTCAGTGTCGTGGATGGAAAGAGGAGCGGCTGCAGAGGAAGAGGAAGGGGCTGAGATTGAGATAGAGCGACGGTGGGAGGTGGAGAAGGAATAAGAGAAGGAAAGGGGAGCGTAGTGGCGCGAGTATGCAACTGTAACGGAGGAGGAAGAGGAGGAGGAGGAGGCCATGGCTATGAGGAGAGCATTGGCTGTAACTCTGATTCGCCTCATCCACATACAACCCATCATCTCCATTGCTGTTGCTGTTACCAGGAACAGCCTGAGGGCGAGCATTTTATGTCATCAAAGGCGATCTCAGCCATACGACGTCGTCGAAATGAAGGCTGAATTAAAATCCCAATGAGAGTAAATTTGATTATTAAAAAATAAAATAATTAAAAATTATTACCCTCGAATAAAATAGGCATGCTATTAGTAAATTTTTATCGGAAAAAAAAAGGTGACACACAACACAAATTATTAAATAGAGGGCAAGTTTCTCATATGGGGTGTCATAAATAATTCAATACAATATATATTACAAAGCAAAAAATTTAATTTTTATTATATAAAAAATTCAAAGCAAAAAGTATTTGGGGGTGGGGTGGAGGGGAGGGAAGTGCTGAATTGATTTCCACTTAACAAGCATAATTCACTAATCACATTTCGAGTAAAAGGGTCGATCATAAGGATTACTGCCTAATGTAATGCAAAATTGACCAGCAACAATCCTATATCTTGACCGAAAATTCGTTAGTACTGGATTTGAAGGGATCGAATTCTGTAACAATGATAAAATAGGCGTCTTCTGGTTCCATTACCCCGTTTCATTTGGGGGACGAAGGAAATGTGAACCCATGTTGCAGCATGATGAAACTACAAAAGCATTTGACACATGTTTGGGATAGCAAAAGCACCCCTAATCTACAGAAAGGATAGGAAGAAAAATGTAATAAAAGTACAATTGCAGAAACATTATAACATTTAACGTGTAAGACTTCTAAAATAAAGTAACTTGAAACTCGCAAGGCTATATCAAGCTTTGATGCATTTCTCAACTCCGACAGGATAAGCATTTCATCTTCAATAAAGGAACTTGTGCAGCTAAAACTTCTTCTCCTGGCCCAGCACAGAAGGGTAACTCAAAGAACATGATCTGATTCCTGTAGTCCTCTGGCTGGATATTTCTGCAAGAGAACTAGTCCCTACAAACCAGAAAAGAGAGGTTAGCATCCCTTTATCAGGTGAAGAACCCAGATCTGCTGGTCCATATAGAGAGTAAACTGTCTTAAGAATTATGTAGCAGCTAAATGCCTCTTAGGTCTATGAACCTTCAATTTAAAATAAAAAAAAAAAGAGAGGAAAAGATATCTCTAAACATTTAAGGAAATTAGCTGAATCTGCCAGAGAATCACTGATAACCTATAATGCTCATGGTTTAGGGTTGGCTTGGCTTGGCAAAAGAAAAAAATATAAACAGATATATGAAACAAAAGCAGCTGAAAACTATCTAACTAGTTCAAGATTGTCATCATATGTAAGGTTACCTACCAGTATTTAATCAATCCATCCCAGCCACAAGTTGCTACTTTACTTTGCTCCAGAGGATGCCACTCACAGCCAATGCATACTCCTTCATGACACTTTACAGTTCTAAATACTTTGCAACTCTTCCAGTCCCAGAACCAACACTTACCCTCACCATCCCCTGACATGACAAATCGTCCATCTGGTGAAAAATTAACTTGGCATGCATAGCCAGCCACAATATGCCCAGCAAACCTTTTCTTCTTATTAAGCTGAAATCTTTCCCGAGTGCTGTAAATAAGAATCTGATTATCCAAGCTCTGTGCAGCAAGCCAGTTTGTGTTGGGATGAAGTGAAATTGATGGCATAGAGTGCATATGAGGCTCACTAATATACTTTATAACCACAGGAATTCCAAATTCCCATACTCTAAGTGACTTGTCATCACTTGAAGTAACAAACCTCCTATTATTGTCAACAAAAGTAATTGTGTTGACTGCCCCCAAATGTTGATCATACTCTTGCGTAATCTGTCCTGTATTAATATCCCACTGTACTATCTTCTTGTCACTCATACCAGCCAATAGAATGTTCTGTTTATCTTCATCAGGATTAAGCTTAACCACATAAGGAATCTTTCCAGTAGAAAAGGTGGAAATAACCTGACCAGTTTCAGTATCCCAGTACTTGATATTCTTATCATACCCAGCGGTCAAAAATTTAGTGCCATCATTACAGAATGAAATATCCCTCACAGCCTTTGAATGACCCATGTAGGTCCTCATGCACTTTCCTGAGTTAAAGACATCCCAGATCTTCACCTTGGTATCCATTCCTGCAGAGAGAATTAAATGTCCATGTTTGGGGAAGAACCGAATAGCGGAAACACCTTTTGTATGGCCACTCCAGGTGTGCACCAATCTCTTTGGTATATAACAATGGTCATTTGTTGCTTTTGCATCCTTAGGAGCCGCAATCCAGGATCTGCCCTGATAATCCCTCTCCTCTTTGCCATGAAAAGTGCTCTTGTCCACCACATGTTCACCTTTCTCCCCACCTGCATGACCTTTCTCTTCTTTCTTCCTGGCATACTCCTCTGCATACTTCTTCTGCTCCTCTGTCAACTCTGTTTGCACTCCCTCCTTCTTACCTGCCCATGGACTCTTTTTATTCTTCATCAACCACTCATCAGTAGCTGGATTATTAATCTGTTCTGGATCAGCTTCACCACCTTCATCCTCATTCCCATCCATTTCTTTCTTTTTCTCAATCTTTTGCCTTTTCTGCTCATGTTGAGGGATGTTATAGACTGAAATGGCACCATTCTCCTTCAAAGCATCCAAATCACCAACATAATCATTTCCAGATGGATCTGCTGCATAGCCATATTTGTGGAAAGTATTATATTGTTCATCAAAAACAAAGGGGTTAACATAAGCATCCTCAACAGATCCAAGCTTGTGGTTTCGCATGCCCTGGGCAATGCCATCCTTAGCATAGGGGTGGGCTGGACCGTAGATAGGGGCCCAAAGCTGGTCATAAGTTGGGTTGAAGGCAACAGCATGTTGTGTTGGATCAATTGGCTTAGAAAGGGCTTGGTGCGCTTGCGCTGCAGTCAATGCTAGCATTGTGTCATCTACCTTGGGAGCAGCAGATTTAGAGCGAAGTAGACGTGGTGGTGAGGAGTCCGGTGATGAAGCCATTGAAGAACCAGGGTTTTCTTGTTTCTCATCTTCTGCTTCATTTAATTCCTCATCACTGTGATCTGCATATGATTTGAGAAGATCCATGGATGGGTGCTAGATTTGAAATGTCTGCTCCGATTCACAATCAGGGAGAAATTAATCAGAAGTGATTCAACTTTATGGATCTACTTTGTTTTGGTAGAAATCCAACCTGCAATTATTGGACATACAGATATATCATCAATGTAACATTGACAATGAAAGTACAAAACTAAAACAAATAACTTCTCCCTGCATGGGACTCAACCGGTACGGAACAATTAATAGAGAAAACATGCCAATCATCACCCAGATAACTTTAATTTTTATAGCAGATAACTTCGATTTTATTATATAGATAATAATAATAAGGGCCAAAAAAATCCACTAGCAGTAAAAACACATATTGAACCCAATAACTTTCAGCACACATAATGATATCGTCAAGCCTTGGTTATAACAGCATCTACCCCTTGAATTTCATTGCTTTGACTTATTTAGACACAAATTAATCTACAAGCATAAGGTCAAAATGCAGTGCTAATATTAATGAAAAAAGAGCACATCATATAGCATGCAAGGAAGTGTATTGGGGATAATAAACTCATAAAAAATGAAATGTACAATTAATCCACCATCCATCATACAACTTGAATTAAATCATAAACACCGGAACTTCAACTATTGAATTCAGTAACAATGATCAATAACTAACTTTATTTCTCCTCTCCTCCGTTTTGGTATTACAAAATGAAGCCAAAGCCTGAAATTCCCTCAATCCGTAGCTCGAATTTTCCCTTTTCTTCCCTTCTCCTACAGTCTCTCAACCACAAAACAGAAGCTAAATCCTACAAATCCCCTCAAAGTAACATATTTATCACCAAAACCACATACGATTGTAATCTCATGACCATAAATTAAATTAATCCCATAAATAAAACAAAAAAGAAAGAATCAACCTAGGACACCAAACTCCTAGATTGGTACCTCAGCTGGAAACTAGACAGAGAGAAACTTAGGATCATGAACGAATTCACTCTTTAGCATGAATCACGTTCTGCTTACTCTTTAGTCCAATAAAAAGAACAATAACCAGTCTATTTGGGAAATTGACTCACCTTATGGTGGAACAACCCTAATCATGCCGACTGGATCAACGCCATCACGGAGCTGCGCACCTCAGAACGCCAACAGCTGTTAAGAGCGAAGAGATTGAAGAGATGAACGGAGAGGGTAAACCGCCGACGAAGGGTTTAAGATGGAAAAGACTGCCGTTTGAATCGCGAGAAATCGAGAAGAGCTGTTTGAATGAGGAGATGCTGTTTGGGAAGATTTTTCGGTTCTTGCATTTGAAATATGGGCTTAATGGGCCTGACTTTGAAATCCAATTGAAATTGGAGTCCAAATCCTAATCTTTTTAAAGCCCCTTTTACAAAGAGGTGCTATCTCGTAAAATGCTATGATTTTATTTTATATTCTTAGGACTGAAAAACTAGAAAAATCGTTTATAAAATCGGCTTCTAATGAACTCGTGGTGGGCTCATCGTAAATTCGTAAAATCATTTGAAATCGGATAAACCTTCGAGTTTACAAAATCTGGACTTTTGACTTGGGTCTTAACGGATTGGCCTTGAAATTGCCCCCCAATGCTTCCAATTTCAGGTGTTAACTTCCCTTTGTTTGATTTTGAAACTCTTCCTGATGACCTGTTTCCAAAAGGAGCAAAGAAACAGGGAGAAAAGAAGTTTAAATGGAGCAAAAATAGAAGAAATCTATTGCCCAAAAAAGAACAAGGATGAAAGAGTAAACCAGGTTGAAGGGAAAGCAAAGAAGGATAATATGTTGCCAAAAAAGAGTAGATCAAGAGAAAGAAAGTTTGAATGAAGCAAAAATGGTAGAAACGAGGGAAAATGAGAGCAAAGAAAACAAGAAAGGGGAAGGGATCGAGGGGTAGTCCTTTTAACGGGGATTATGTTGACAGATGGGATTAGGTGTTTGTTTTCTCTATTTATTTTTTTTTAAATTTTGGGAAAAAAGGAGGTGAATGTGATTTAATTTAAATAATATGTTTTTTAATTTTAAGTTTTTTTTATATTATCACTTATTATAATATTGAAACTTAGTTTTTGTTAAAGTTATTGTAAAC